GCCCCACCCGGTCACATTATACTGACAACGGGCGAACCAGTCGTCCCACTCCTAATTTGCTGAGCGTTAAGCAGGAGTAGAAACTACCATTTTTAAAGACTTTGGTATGTCTCGGCCAGGGGACAGAACCCAAAGCCTTCCTCACATGGGCGAACGCTCAACAAATGGCCAAAAGTGAGGCATTGTCAAGGGAGACATTAGGAAGAAGAAAGTTATTTAGAAAGGAGAGAAGAGATAAGGTCCCAAATTTAGTAGCCTCTTACGATCATGCAATTGGGGGCAGCAGGTACAATTCTTACGCCCTACCTGCAGGGTTTTGTCGAAACTTCAAACCCCGAAGCGATATTCTATGCATGACTGCAGACAATTTATCGGAGCCAAGTATTAAGTCCAAAACATGATGGTGCTTATGTACAGGTGATCTCCCTTTATCTGTAGGCGATATTTCAGAGTAAATGAGTGAAAGATTTATTTTAAAAAAAATATGTCGACATTTAACTTTTTTTTAATGTTAATAAAATGTATATTTCACTGCACTACTCTTTATTGTTTACCTTTGACTGGTTGGGATACTGATATATATTTATATTTTTTGGTGACATGTGTTTATTTACTCAATGAATATATAGCTACAGTAACAAATCTATCGGAGGATAGCAAGCTTCACAACAGCAAAGTAACAATTTAATATCCTTATACATATATGTCCTTCTGAAAATGTATACGTGTTCAGTCATGAAGTAAGTATACCCCATTAGTTTAGGACAATAAGAAATATCCGATTATCAAAACTTCAAACCCCGAAGCGATATTCTATGCACGACTGCAGACAATTTTGATGAGTTTGTTAACATTTTATTTATTTTATTTTTCATGACTTTATCGGAGCCAAGTATTAAGTCCAAAATATGATGGTGCTTATGTACAGGTGATCTCCCTTTATCTGTAGGCGATATTTAAGAGTAAATGAGTGAAAGATTTATTAAAAAAAAAAAAAAATGTCGACATTTAACTTTTTTTCAATGTTAATAAGATGTCTATTTCACTGAACTACTCTTTATTGTATACCTGTCACTGGTTGGGATACTGCTATATATTTATATCTTGTGGTGACATGTGTTTATTTACTCAATGAATATATAGCTACAGTAACAAATCTATCGGAGGATAGCAAACACTGCTTCTCTGCTTCACTNGGATGGTGCTTATGTACAGGTGATCTCCCTTTATCTATAGGCGATATTTCAGAGTAAATGAGTGAAAGATTTATTTAAAAAAAAAGAGTTGACATTTAACTTTTTTTCAATGTTAATGTTTACATGTATATTTCACTGAACTACTCTTTATTGTATACCTTTCACTGGTTGGGATATTGCTGTATGTATATATCTTGTGGTGACATGTGTTTGTTTACTCAATGAATACAGCTACAGTAACAAATCTACCGGAGGATAGCAAACACCGCTTCTCTGCTTCACAACAGCAAAATAACAATTTAATATCATTATACATATATATCCTTCCACTTACATAGATTCCTCAGAAGATCACATTTCAATATGTTAAAAGTGCAATATTTTCACACGCAGAATACATTTTCTTGATAAAGGATTTTAGTTACAGACAGACCCTGTTCTGGTAGAAACAAACCCCGTTTGTCTCAACACACAGGGAGTTATGCATGTAACCGATCGAAAAACTAGGTTCGTGTTTGACGTGTGTGTTAGGATAACAAAACATTGATGGTGTCTGCTCGTGGTGACACTCACAAATAGTTCATTAGACATTATAATTAAATTAGAAACCCCACAAGAAATTTCAACCAAATGCATGTTTGATATTTTTCAACAATCACAATTACCAATGTTGGAAAGGAAAAATATGTACCTAAATCAACTATTGAACATTTTTGACGCTACGTAGGGAAATAAAAATACTAAATAACATCAATTTCGCAACTTTGACGTACACTATGCAAATATGTATTGTAGAAAATATGTAGCCCACAATATGCTAGTAAATAAACATGATTTATTTATTTAGCAACAATTATGAAACAATGTGTATCAAGTAATATTAATCACGGTTGTATCAAACCGTCAATATGTCATTAAGTCATTTCAAATTTGGAATTTAATAGCAATGATATTTTTAATGATAATTTACTTTTAAAAATATTGTACCTGTAATATACCTTTCCCGAAACAAAAGTTACCAGCCTGTTAACTAGAACGCGAGGGCTGATTTTGATTCAAAAATTGTATGTTTGAGTCAAAATTAAACAGCCTTTACATTTTAGGCAGCTTGCATAAAACAAAAAACACGCACATGTATCATAAAACGTATGTTTTTATCTGTGTTTGGAGTTTACTATATCTTATAAAAGGGTGATGGTCAATACCTGATCTGTTATTTTAAGAAGCAAGTTTTTTTTAAAACATGTGGTTCTGGACGTTTGTGTCCAGAGTCTTAAACTTATTGGCCAATAAAAGTAATATGTAAATCCAAGATATGTTCATAATTAACAAAAAATCTCTGGTTATCTCCCAAAACAGTGTCGATGTGGAGGAAAACGTGGTTTAATTTTCGATAAAGAGGTAATTGTGTGGGACATATTATTCAGCATTGACTTTTGACTTGCGGACATAAAAATAACAATCCCAAGCAACTCCTCCTGGTAAGTAGACATTATCAGAAATTTGAGTTTGATCGGTCAAAGGAAACTTAGACTGTGCGAAAACCAGTTTCTATTTCCATTTGACCATGGAACCATGCCCATTGATCTTTGAATCCCAAGCAAGCACTTATAATCAGAAGGCAATTTATCGAGTTTAAAATATTGTCTGTTGTAGCCAAAAGAATGAAATTTGTAATGTTGAGAAGGGTTTTTAGCAACCTCACACTTAAGCTGTAATCTATATAAGATTCAGAACACCTTAAAAACGAAGTATTCATTTTTCTTAATCTTTAGTGGTACTGATGAATCCCAGACGGACGAAATGACCATATTATTAAGTAAAATCCCTATTTTGTTTGGTTTATTAACTAAATTTTCAAATAAGTGCTTCTTTTCTTGGCATTTCCGATGATTCTTTTAAGTAACAAGATGGCTGACTCCGCTGGTGGATTATCTGTTCCCGAGGTTGGCGTAACATTCATTCTGGCACTGTTAACATGAAAAAATAGTTAAAGAACATATTATCTGTGATAGCCAACTGTGTAACGTTATAAAGGGTTTGATATAGCTACTTTTCGTCATTCGCTTCCTTCTACGTATTTTCAGTATTATTTTCATTTTATTTGGCTGACAGGTAACTCGAAATATTGTGCGGTAACAAATTTACTAATTTAAAGTAGCAGTCGACATTTCGAAATCATGATATTTGGATCTAGATTTTTAAACTTCGCAGGTATGGGAAGCACGGATACAACTATCAATATTTGGAGTTCACGGTAGGAAAATAAAAGTCATAACGCTTTTCGTACAGCTAGGTAGTCAACCGTCCCTGTTTGTCATGTTGTATGTGTACAGATCGAGATAATCGGCTGATGTCGAAGAGCGTGTAGGGTCCTTTATTTCCAGTTCAGGACAGCCTAAGGGGGACAGTCAATACTGCCATCGGAAGGGTAGCTATTTACCTGTCGGGCTACACTTCATTTTCCGCCACCGATGATGATCGCACCGACATTCTTTGCAATTGTGGGTGGTCACTCATGTATCGACCATGAAAATCAACCTTGCAGAAAA